GTTGACCTAGAATATCTGACGGAAGAAACGGTACGAAAGCGAACAGGTACCCGCAGAGAAGGCGAGGCGATAACAAAGCTCTCGCGAAGAACGGAATTGTCGTGAAATCCTTTGAAATACGACCGCACACCGTCTCGATGTGTTCTTTGCTGGTTGGCTGCGAGATTTCCGTTAGCTTCGCGAATCTTTTTCAACGGCATGGCTACTCGACCCTTTCGAATTATCGATCTTCATTGTTGGGGCCACGGATGGGAGCGGATTATTATGCGCCACGGAGAGGAGTCTCTCTCTTTCATACCTTTTTCTCTTGCTACACCATCTTTCCTTCTTTTTTTCTTCTTCTTGCGCCAGAAATCGCGTAAACGAACGCCGGGAATTATTAAGCACCACCGTGAATTAAAAAAATTTTCAATTAATTCTATTGTCATTGAAAAGAATTCATTTCCGTTCGCACTTTAGAAAATCAAAAGCTTTCTTTTTGACAGTTAGTCGAATTTCCCAATTATATTTCATTTCAGTATAGATATACAACGTTTTCAATATAGATTGGAATTCTTTTTTTTGAAATTTTAATCAACCGTTTCTAAACGGAGTTGATGAATAGAAATATAAAAAGTTCACGCACACGGTGAATTCGCAGAACGTTTATAAACGTTATTTAGAAGGTAGTCGGCTGGTTTTTCAATAAAAACGCTCGCTCGAAACGGGAACCGATTAACGATACGTCAGAGGAACTTTACGAGCTGTTGAAATATTGCCTTCTAAAAGCGATATTGTTCCTGAACTCTATACCCTGTAAAACTTCCTCCATTATTTCATTTGCCGTATTTAACGATCGTAGCAACGGAAGTTTCGCGGTTACCTTGAGAGCTCGTAATCGCTTCTGATCGATAACCATTCCGTCGACTGGATCGAATTTATGTTCAACGGAAAAGAGAGAGAAAAAAAAAAGAAAAATCTTTCTCAACACCTTTCGCGCAATTAAGGAGATCAGAAGAACCCTTGTTAAGGAATCAAAAGAATTCTACTGGTGCTACTTTTACAGGATAAAATTTCCATGTTTCGCGGTGGCTAATCAAAACTCGCTACTGAACATTTTCAAACGGATGGCAAAACAGTTTTCGCTCGCATTAAATAGTCTCGTCGTCCCATTCAATTATCAGCGTCGCGTCGCAACGAAAAGTAAATATCTCGCGAAAGTTTCGCGGAATCAGCAAAATTGTACGAGCGCAAACATCTGCGCCCGTCGACGCTCGGACATCGTATTTGTCCATCAAGTTTATTTCCGCGTGAACTCGGTAATTTATTCCCATGCACATTCAATTTCATCATTTCACCGAGAAATTCCCCGCGCGGAAAAACGCCCTGCCAAAGCGATATCTCATTGTTTAACGTGTAATTTGATGTACTTCCATGATTAAAACTCTTTATCCGGCATTTTAAAAGAAAATGAAAGGAATAATCTTCTTGGATATTTGAAACGTATAGTATAGTTTGATCTTCGTTTGTACGTTCTTAAAGAGATCGTTGAAATAAAGGGGTCGAATTAAAACAGCGTCGATCCACGAATGGATCCAGGAAAATTCCAAGTTTACAGAGACGTGAATGAATGTATTCGTTCGACGAAAGTTGGCCATCTTAAGAACGCGATGCTGGCAGCTGTACATAATCAAAAAATGGAACAAAAGGATGCTCCACTTTCGACTGATTGTCCGGAGTTTGAAAGAAAGTAATGTTGTAGAAAATCAGGCCATAATGCGGCCGCTAAAGGGAAACGCGGAAGGATCTATTCGGAAATTGTGTTTCTAATCTACAGCTTTATCTTTGCCATTAACACAGGGGGAAAAGTATACCTTTCTTTTCTGATTTCATATTTCTTTGAAAGCGAATCTTTGCGAATTACACTATTTATTATTTAATAAAAGTAGTATTCTTCTTTCAAATGTAAAAGTTCCACCCTTAGAAAAAGTAGCGATATCTTCAAAATATATCATTCTAAGTACCCAAGCTTGTAATTTAAAAAAGAAAATGATAATTGATTAAGCACCAGCGAGAAAAAGCTTCCTTTCATTTTCTGCTTTTGTTGATAATAAAGTAATAACCCTTTTGAAATGATACCGCCACAAAGTAGCACTACTAGCTCCATCTACTAACAAGTCGTTGAAACCTAATAAATGGCATCGAATCTGTAATACCAACCCCAATAGATATAGTAGGAAAATGCATCATTTGATTGCGTAGCATCTACTTACCTTATCGCTGGAAGGTATAGATTCTTAGAATATTCATTAGTAGCATTTGTTCATTGTATGCTAGACATTCTCTTGCTAACAAACAGTGTACGCAAAAGCAGCACGCTCGATGAGTTAACGTTTCATGTGAATTTACACGTGTCATTGTTAATATTTCACGCAGTTTAATTATGGATAAGAGTTTACAACAATGCTTGGAACTGTTGAAAGAAAACGAGGACCAGATACGAAACGATGCCGAGGGTGCATTGTTAACTATCTGTCAAAATATTTTGTCACATCCAAATGACAAACAATATAGAAAGGTGTTGCTCGACGATCCTTTAGTTATACAGAAATTACTTCCTGCCACTGGTGCTATGGAATGTCTGTTTGATATTGGTTTTGTTGAGGTAATTGTACTAGGGTGATTAATGACAAAGAACTTGGCTATATAAATTTTTATTTTAAAGGCCACTGACTGTCTCTCCTTACCGCAAGAAGTACCTCTAACAAAGCTGCAAGCTCTGGAAAGTCTGCTTGCCAAAAATGCGATCAAAGCAAATTCTTCAAAAGTCCATACTGATAAATCTGCAGCCTATGATTTGTTACCTCAAACATGTAGTAAAAGAGAGAAAGAATTTTTAACAGGAATCATAGTACGTTCTAAAAGTGTTCTGAGATACGAAGATGAGAGACTTCAGGAAAAGGCAAGAAAAATAATACCATTTGCAGAGCTTGAACTTGCAACAATGAAAAGGATGAGGGAACTACAAAAGTAATAACTCTTTACAGATGCAATGCTATAGTTGATAATGTATTTCATACATTGAATCTCTTCTCTTGTAGGCATATGAAATTAACTGAAAAGGAAAAGACTACCAAAAAGGAATACACTGAAGATGACATAGAGGATGTAAAAGAGTTGTTTCTAATGGAACTTTTGCATTGGTTCAAATATGAATTTTTTTCATGGGTGGAAGGTCTAAAGTGTTCTACATGTTCCTCAGAATGTAAATATGAGATGGTAGTAGAGTCTCATGATCCTAGATGTTCGCGGATAGAAATACAAAAGTAATTCAATATATTCCGACATTCAATTAATTTGATATGATTATTATTACTTAAATAATAACAAGCATAATGAATATTACTTTAGATGTCCTAATTGTGGAACGATGGTTAAATTTCCGCGCTATTGTGATCCAGAACCATTGTTAATTTCACGACGCGGACGTTGCGGAGAATGGGCTAATGTATTCACACTATTCTGTAGAGCATTAGGATACGATGCAAGATTTGTACATGATGAAACAGATCACGTTTGGACAGAGGTGTGTAATGACCACTGCCCTTATATTAATGAAAAATATATTGAAAGGTACTCAATGATAAACAAATTCTTAATGCAGAAATTTTCGTCGTCCTGATACTCATCAATGACTACACCCATGAAAAAAATTATATTGACAATAGGATGTTGATATTTTAGGTGTGGTCCATGCGTGAAAAACGATGGATTCACGTAGATCCATGCGAGGACGTCATGGATCGGCCATTGATGTATGAAAAAGGTTGGAAAAAGAAATTAACATATGTTATCGCATTTTCAAAAGATGAGATACAAGATGTTACTTGGCGTTATACACGCGATCTACCAGGTGTATTGAAAAGAAGAAAACTCTGTTCTGAAACTAAATTACTAGAATTTATTGAATCGTTAAATAAATATCGTCAATCTTCTCACAATTATAGTCCTTCTCGTAAACAGTACGTAATAAAACGAAGGCTCATGGAACTCGTGGAATTGTTACATGTGCCCAAAGGACAAAATTCTGATGACGATGATAATAATTATCAAGGACGATCCACTGGTTCTTACGAGTGGAAATTAGCACGAGGAGAGATTTCCCAAGTATGAAATTAGAAATTAAATATTTGGTTTAATTAAGACATGGTAATGTTTACCGCATCTTTCAGGCAAACGTGACGGCTAATTATTCTTGGGATGTTTCAAAGTACGGCGATACATTCCACTTATGCTATTTTGTCGTTCAAGATGAATACAGGGTAATAAATAATGATTGTGAAGTAATAGAAAATATATCTGGTTGGCAGCATGGGGTCTACGAAACACAAGGTGGAATATTCCGTAAATTAGAACACGATTGGAAAATGGTATATTTAGCTCGTTCTCCAGGAACTGGTTGTGGCAAAGTAGAGTGGAATTTAGTAGTATCGAATCAAAATTTATGCATTAAGACCGTTAGTTTAAAAGCTTTAGTAACAGTATTTCATGAGGCTAGTATATCCTGGGAAATAGAAGGGTTTTTTGATAAAACGGACCAAACTAAATCAACTATATTTCCTATCAATGATTGTACCAACTATTATACAGAAGAGTTGAAGGGATCGATAAAACTGATTATTAGGGCGAAAGTTTCCGGTGGTCAAGGTGATTCCGCATGGCAACATGCACAACTTTTTCGGCAAAGTTTAAAAAGCCAAGGAGAACCATCTTTGTTAATTGACATTCAATTGGAAAATCGGTAATCATAAAATCAATTTATTAGAAATGGTATTTAATTCGAGAACTTTCCTTATACACATTATAATAGCAGTATATATTAATAACATGGACCTGAATAATTATGATTCTCCTATGAAGAATACAAAATAAATAAAAATATTTCACATTTGAAATTGTTTCTCCTCAAAAGAAGAATGATGTATTTAGTTGCAAATAAAGACAAGTCTTTGTGACTTGACAACTTTGAAAATGTTTATTTCGTGTACAAAATAAACAGACTAGTGATGGCACTTTATAAAGGCATTCGAGTCCGAATAACGTTACGCGGTTGTTTAACATTGATTTCGAAAGCATCAATATTTTCTAATGAAATTATTCGTTTTTTTTTAGTTTATAATATGTTTATATAATATGTCGTTGTGTTGCATTTAATACAGAATATTCAAGTTGCAAAGTTGCAAAATACTAACGATAAAATATCAGTGTGCTTTTCCTTGAGATAACTTGAAAAATCACAAGTTATACGATAATACGAATCAGCAAAAATAGTGACATACGAGTTGATAAAGAAGTAGCATTAGAGAAAATTTATCGCGTTCGTACGCAAAAATGCATAAATAACAGAAAAATATTATATATCACAACGTATAAAGATACAGAATGGAACATTGTTACTGAAATCTATACCTTGCAGAATGCAGCGTGAGCTAGATATATTTTTGCAATGCATTTGTTGAAATAAATCTCTCATCTACCGTGCAATATATTTTTCAATAAAAGTACCGAAACACTATCCCGGCCTAATGTTTATGTATTTACATATCTTTAGCGTATATCCCAGCACCAATGAAGTCTCTTAATACCGTCATAGTTTTATGCGTACGTCGCATATAATAATATATTCCGTACATACAAAAAATATTTAATATCTACATTGTTACAGAACATTAACGACTATTTAAGTAATGAATTTTCGTCCCAGTCATGTTCAATGACCCATTCAATTAATACTAAATAATATTGCTGGAAAATGATGTATAAAATAACAAATAGGCACTGGTATTCTGAGACCGTACATGATTCATTGTAACTTCTGTAACTGTTTGGTCATCGTATTTGTACCATCTGAATGAACAATACATTAATGGTGTTAATATATGTTCAAAATAGAAAATATTATTTACTTACTTGTTTTGAGCAGCATTTTTACAGAAAGCCGTGTAATGACCACCTTCCATGGTTCCATAATGATTCGACATTGCATAGAGACTGTAACTGTAATTACGCATATTCGAAATGGTGTTGCTGTCCGCCACCAAATACGGTTTTAAATTGAAGCCCGTAAGAGGAAAATCGACAGCGGTGCTTCTTTTCTCGAGCCACCCACCGCTTTCAGCGAAACGATTTAAATGTATTACTATGATAGGCGCTAATTTAACGAAATCGAATTTCTTCGTTGCTTCTCGAGACGTCTGACATTTCGGGCATTTCCATCCAACTACCTTTTGCCCGCTTACAAATTTCAAAATACAGTCCTATAAATCAAATCAATCAGTGAATTGAATAACTATTTGCAATAATAAATTGCAAATGGAAGTTTACGTTTAATGTACACCGGTTAGCATGAGGTAACGATGTAGTCAAACTATTAAAAGTTTCATAAGTAGTACTGCTTTGCTTGCAAAAGCTACACGTAATGGTTGATTTTAGCTGTCCAAAGAATAAATCGGATATGATGGATCTTTTTGATTCCATGGCTTTGTCCCACGCTTTTTCGGCAACCGTCATTTCGGATGGTATCTTAGAGTTCTAGATATAAAATGAAAATTAGAAACTCAATCTAGTGATTAAAAGTATATGAAATTTTACCTTCTTCAGATCATTGTGCATCCAGTCCAAAAGGAACGTAAGGAACTCGTGAGAATCTTGTTGCTCGTAACTTTCAAATTGTAATTTGTACTGTCCCACGACGATCTAATTCAGAGTTTAATTAAGAACGACATCGTCAAAAGAAAAATTCATTTGCACAAAATAATTTACCTTGAGGTCAAGCGGAGATATGCTCTTATATTGTCCTCTCCAAAGAGCTTTGATCACTTGAGCTACCTCTTCAACAACCTGACCCTGGGTGGTGTTATCGTTATTTGTATTAAGATCGTCGACGTACAAATTATCCATTAAATAATTGGCTAGATGCGTGGTATTACTTAAACATTGTATAATACTGTTCATGTAACACGAGTTTCCCAAGTTCTTTAATCCTGTAATACCTGGATGCTGTAATTGAAATAAAAACACTGAATACTTCATATACTTTCACTGTATAAGATCAAATACTTTTAAATATCATACATTGAGTGCATTAGTTGATCACTGAACATATTATATTCGGAGTAACATTAATTTCTTTTTATGCAATGAAGCTTACAAAAAATGCTGTCTCTTCCCTATGCTCGCAGATTACCTTTTTAAAATAGTAAACTTTAAAATTTGGCCCAAATTTTCTGGACAAGTTAACCATCATTTGTTCACAACTTATTTAATCATAAAATAGGAGATTCGCGTTCATCCACGTGTTTTAAGGATACATTATCCACAGGTTGAGTATCATTCAACATTCTATAATATAATAAACATAAACGTATTCACGAATTCGATATTGATTTTTCTTTTTCACCAGCATCTAATTAAAAAGTTACGCGAAGTAACGGCGTACATTGACAACATTTAGTGACGATAGTCGGATAAATACTGATGCATATATCGCGATGCATTGTTCCGGAAAGGTTCGGATAAATTGGATTGAGAAGCCATATAGGTACAATATGTTTCTTTCTTCCTATATGTACCCGCTACGCAGGATTGATAAATAATGCGTCTTTAGTTTTTCTTTTAGCTTTTCTTGATTTTTAACATTTATATATTAAACATAGGTATAATACGTTAGATTAATTAGGTATTTCAATTGTTGATTACTGGGCATTTGATAGGTGTTACTTTCATTCATTCACGTGGATTGCGATTGCAAGCACGTGGATGTCAGTGATTGCTTATGTTATTAAGAATTACCAGCACAATGACACTTACGACACTTCCATGAACAGGTGTCATTCTTTCTTCGCGATTCGCCCAACTGAGATGAGACAGTTTATTATCGGTATAAGTTCCACTTTGATACGGGGATGGTTGTGGCTTCGAACTTCTGTCTATCTGTGGTGCTTTGCGATCTATTAACTATTTGATGAAAATAATATCTTTGAAGTACGATATCCTTTGTAATATATTTTTATAATAGTAAATTTACATACCTGTAATAAATTTGGACTGGAATACGATCGTTCCAAACCACCTATTGATGAATTATTATTCATTTTCAAGGGTTCCTTGTGAGTATTACTTTCATTTTCTTTCGATGATAAGTCTTTGTAATTAATTTTTGAAGCTTTCCTGAAAAATTAACCGATATCATTATAAATAATCATTTAATCATGATGTTATACTTGAAACTTACTCGCGTATTTTCGACCGCTCCGCGGATATATCTCTCGTACGATGTTTAAATACAGCAAGACTAAGCTTGAGCTTGTCCTGTTCATTTTCTTCTGTAAAATTCAATTTGATTGGATCCGCTAATACGTTATACTTCGTAAGATCATCTTCCAGTTTTTTATATTCATTTTGCTATTGGATCAAATGAAAGCTGTTTCAGTTTCTAGCGTGGTACACTCGATACAAAGATAAATTAGTGATCAATATTTCTCACCTTCTCTTTCAATTTCAACTGAAGAGTCTTTAAATTATCGCGAATATATTCTTCTTCGTTTAAACTTTTATGTTTGGTACCATCTTGCATACACAAAGCACGTTCCTCTTCTAAGATTTCTTCTTCCAACACTTGCTTGCTTTTAGCGAGTTCCTTCAATCGTCTCATTAATTTCAACACTACTTTCGATTCCAACGTGCTCGTGTTTAAAGAAACTGGTTTATTGCTTCTGTCCACAGTCGGTTTTGCAGATACATCAGTCTTTTTCGTAATACTTAACGATCTTCTGTGTTGCAGTTTTAATGAATTATTATCATGCTGTCTCAAAATTGGATTACTTTTAGGAATTTTGTCTACATCAACAGTGGAATTCGTAAAGTTGTTAGACTGCATAGAAACGTTATCGCCCTCTGCATCCATATGTTCGTCCCAAATTTCTTCGTTTGATACGTTACTTTTATATGTAACATTTTCTTTATTCGCAACTTTTGGATTTGTTTTGCTATCGCGCATTTTAATATTTTCTTCTTCGTCCAAATGTATCCATTCAGGGTATTCTATATTATCTAATATCTCGTCTGGAACGTTACTTGATGCAGGCTCTGTTACATTTGGGTTTGTCGTGAACGCTGGATAACGCGTCAACCATTCTGCATAGCCACCGTTCAAGATTGTAATCTTCTTATACTTTATACCAGGATCCCAATCTTCTAAAATTTTTCTTAGTATGTTTAAATGATTATCCGATGTCAATGTCTTACTTGATGTATTCCAATCAAGTAGAATTATAACATCAACATACTGAGCTCCTCTGTGTCTAAATAAATTTAAAGATTTTTTATCTTTATGAATATAATCTTCGAAATGCGACGTTAACGCACTGAAATAAAAATTCTAGATAATTATATTTGGACAAACGGAATGATAAAACATTATTTCCTATGCATTTTACCTACCCAGGTTTAATTATAGTGTTTGGAATGTTAACAGATTTATCAGACATTATCCTAGAAACTTCATATTGAGACTTGGATCTGATATCAATGATTAAATATCTACCATCATCTTTATGCATTAATTGAAACAACTGATCACAGTTTATAATCTCTTCATTATCACCAACCAATGGATCTCTGGTTGGTGTTTCAGGTAATTTTAAAGGACCATCAACTGTAGGCATAGGAGAATCAATTCCTGTTTCATTGTCTATGTCCATTTTTTCTACACTGCTACTTTTTTCTGATTTCTGTTTTATCTGTTTATACCTTGCACTTAATTTTTCATACAAGTCTTTAAGTATTTTCCTTGCCTCATTGATCTACAAGAAACATCGATATGTTTTATTTGTTCACGCGAAGTATTGAGTATCAGCTTTAAAGTAACACCTCAAAACTTCACATTTAGAATACCTTTATCTGTGAATGATAAGTTTAATAAAGCATACGCCACTTCCCACCTGATGCATATTAGATAAGGAGAATGTTTTGCCATCTTTATATTCCTGTGTACTTTTCAACCATTCTATGCAATTTAGCCATCTCTTTAACATGATGAACTGGTTTTCCTTATCCCCCTGTATCCTTGCAGTTTCTGCTAAATTATACATTTCAGGCAACCTTTTGAAAATATCAGATGGCCTCTTGTCTTTGAAATTGATCGCAGCCTTTAGCAACAAATCTTTTATGCTTGTGTAACGTAAAGATCCTCTGTCAGACATGTTTATCACAATGCTGCAATGGTTTTTCAGTAAATGGGTTTAGTGTACTGAACACTGTTCTCTTTGTATTCTGTTTCAACCTCCAAAATAAGAGAGAAGTCATTTACTGCCTTGAATCATACTCAAAATCATAAATACGTACGATTTTGATACAAAAATGTTATTCCGTTGCTATTATTCAGAATAATGTGTAAGCAGCACCTCAAAGTAACATTTTTAACAATTAACAGAAACGTCAGGTTTTTATAAACACATTTAATTAATGAAATTTTCAGGTTGAAACGATGTTCTACCGCTTTCATTGACTACAGATAGTAGAAAACTGGACATGCCTTTGTTTTCAAGGGGTCATGATTTAGGGGGTCTCAGACACCCCCAGATGAGATTACAACCAGTATGATAATCGTGCCTGTTTTACCAGTCCACAGATTCCATTTTTTTTAGAAATTATTCAAAATCGGGACAAGACATATTTAAATATTATTAAAAAAATTGACAACCCCTATTTTGAAAAATCGATTGGTAAGTTGTTGTGTAGTTTCCATCGTTTCTGAACAGATGACGCAGGCATCGAATTCTGATCATTTTACCGACCATTGATCTTTAAAAAATATTTAATTTTGCAATTTGTATGCATTAGAACAGATGAAGGTTTCATAATGAAGCCTTTGATAACATCGCACCAGCATATATGGAGAAGTATATATGCTAATACGACTTATGCACTTCGTGCGGTGTAACCTACGTAGCATCGGTCATAAATGACCCACGGGATTCATAGCTATCTGTCCTTTACTCTCCTCTCTAGCGATTCCTATGGTTCAAGTTTTAATCTACACGGCCATTTTTGCCCTACCTCTGGCACCGTTGATCGCCAGTCGGAAATGAGAGAGGGACACGGCTGAACCGACTAAGCCGCGCATCGGTCAAGATCATCGTTCTGCAGGTGCGCGAGGATTATGCAAGCACATTCGGTAGGATTTTATTTTCTATCTTATTCTAACTTATTAATCGCTTCATTTTGCCGCATTTTGGTCAAAAATCATCCATAGAATAGTATTTAAACTTTGATGCTTGAAATTTTTAATGACATTCACTAAAAACATAGTTGTATTTCAAATTCCAATTTAGATGATTTTGGATGATTCTCTGTCAATTATAATTGCGCTAGTACTATATATGTCAAATTACTTTAATTGCTGATTGATTCCTTTTAAAGATTTTTGGAAATTTCTAAAATTCAATAAAACAAGTGATATTATATTCTAAATGTATAATGTTAAGTAATAAACTTGAGGAGGGTAATGGATAGTGGTTGGAGGGAGAGATCGTTAAGTGTCTTAATGTGACAAAAAAAACTTCGAAAGACACGCGTGGGTGTGTATTCGTGGAATTTTCCAATTTTTCGAAACGTGTTTAGAAGAGTGAATTAAAAGTCGGATTAGAGGTATTTGAAGTTGCACCTTGATATTGATAAATCGTCGAGTGATAGCGTGCTGATAGATGATATAATAAAATTTGTGCAATCAGGGCGAAGATTAAAGAATTCACATTAAAAATCTGATCCGTGAATAATCAAAATTTTTAAATTATACCTCTGTCAATTTTCTTTGAACTTCGATAACAAATTGACAAGCATTACTGGTTATCCAGATAAATTTAAATAAATGCTATATTTTAAAGCATTCGTGCTCTTTGGACTATTGAAAACAGGAACGAAATATAAATAATTTAACTTAAGCCTCTACCGGGGAATTCGATTAAGAAACAATGGCACAATACTCTATTGTGGTGTCACGTGTTCGGAAGCTAAGCTTCTCAGATAACAAGTTAACAAAATCAAAATATTTGCTACCTTTATTTCGAATGTCACGAAAGAGTTAAAAGAAAAATGGTATAAAGTTACAGGTGAATACTATATCAATAAAGTTAAACGAAAAGTAATTAAATTAAAAATATTTCTAAGAGTATAAAGTATTTATTTTAAGTTAGCAAAATTATGTCACTTGTTAAAGTGCTAAAAATATAGTAGCTAATAATCACGGCTTATCTAATCTCTATTACAAAAGATATGAGATAACGTCACAACAAATTAGCAATTCATATTTTAATTTAATTAAACGCCTACCGTTCATTCTTACTAACTTACTAATAAATAATTTACACCTGACGATACATTTTTCAATGAAAAATCGGGTGATCCTCAGGATTGGCGCTCGACGATAATCGTAACATGCAGTTTCGCGATCGTATTCGTGGCGTTCGTCTGGAACGTGAGGAAAAATTCATCGGAAAAAGAGAAACAACCGAAGAAAGACGAAAAAGAGAAAGCGGATATCGTTAACGGAACTATCAGTCACGGAAACGACGCGAACGATGAACCGGAAGAAGAGGAACAGACGGAGGATGACACGATTTCCGAACTACCCGATCCTAATTGGGTAAAAGTGGGTCAAGTTAGAGAACTGTATATATATCCATTGAAATCTGGGCGTGGAAAAGAATTGAGGGAATGCAATTTCACGGAATACGGAATTTCCGTGGAAAATCAGGGGTTCACCCTTCGGGACAGGTAATTATTTCACCCCCTGCTTCGCGTATATTTAATGTTAAAACAATTTCAAAACTTGATATCTTCTGTTTCACGTGTACCGTTGTTCCATTGAAATTTTATCTCTCATTCATTATCTTTTAATTATCACCAGCATACACACCAGTGATTCACACTTGTTTGAGTTAAATAATTTTTCTTTTCGACCTTCTACATTATTATAATTTGCAGGTCCTTTTCTACCCTAAATAAAACATAATTAACCAATGGAATTTAAAAGGCGAATCTTTCACTGTTCATCAGAATGTTTCTAGTGTACAACGAGGAGACGGGTCGTTTTCAAACTGGCAGACAATATCCTACATTGATTCTCGTCAGTCTATCAGCTGTGGATGAATCGAGGGTGAAATTAGAAGCGTTAGGGATGCCCAGGGTGATGTTCACCGTGCCAAAGTCTTTGGAGAACAGTATCGAAGCCGTTCAATGCAAAATGTGGTGGGGCGAGCCGGTAAAATGTATCGATTGTGGCCAAGAACCTGCTGAATGGATATCAAGGTTTGCAAACCTTTGCTTATTTTTCCGATAACTAATATCTAGGAAGAGATAGGTCTGGCAAAGAGTATAGTAGATATAACGAGAGAAGGACTAATGGCAAAATAAAATATAACAAAGTATATTAAAAATAATCGAAACGATTCTTTCCAGGTTTTTAACCGGAACGAATTCAGGTCTCCGTTTAGGGTACACGATGATGGACAAAAGGGACCTATTCAAAGAGCCCTGGAAAAAGTACACCGAGGTGTACCAAACGATCAGAAACGAGGATACTGTAACTACATTTCTTAAACCAAAATTCAAATTTGTTTCTTTATTAATTAAGAAAGGAACAATTATCCTGTAGGGGTTGTTCTGCGACCTGGCGAGTTACATGTTGATGACCGTGCAATCCGTGGACAAGTTGAATGAGAAATTAGAGACACCAGTGCCGGCGTTACAATTCCGTCCAAATATTTTACTCTACACGAAGGAAGCATTCTCGGAAGACGATTGGGAATGGATAAAAATCGGCGAACGAGCTGTTGTTAGAAACGTCAAACCATGTACACGGTATAGTAGAACATTTTGAGAGACAGCGATGTGGCAAAGTGTGATGTTATAGTTAAAAGAATCGATATTCCTGCGCTTTGTATAAATCAGCAAACTCATCTACTTGTTAATTACGAAATAATCATTGATGTCAAGCACTGTATCTGTAAACGTCCTGTCTGATCCAGGTGTAAGTTTGTGCTTGTGAATCCAGATAATGGAGTAATGGACGACGAAGAGCCATTGAAGACTTTAAAAACGTACGGTTTTTTTTATCTTTTTTTTTATTGCATTTTTTACAGAAACGGGGTGGGGTATCTCCATTTTTCCTGGGAAACCTTGATCGCGAAACTACCCTACTATAGTCTAATTTACATAATTTATCATTAACCTTCTTTCATCGTTACGTTTATCATTTTTTTATTTATTTAGCGAAGCTTAAGATTTTAAAACAGGCTTTAAATAATTGTTAGTTATTAAAACGAAAAATCTGTTGCTTCTATGCTATGTGATGTCGATCCAGTTTTCTGTGCTCGGTTGTTACTTAATTTTTCTATTTTATGAATTTTAGATTTAGGCAATTAACAGATCCAAAACGCCTTGCTTTGGAAGGAACAGCACCCAAGATGGGAATCTACTGTGGATTATACGTCCCTGGAAAAGTGAAGATCGACGATGATGTTTTCGTTCACATTCCTAATAAATCATCGATCGAATCGAATCATCGTGAAACGAAATAGAAGTTAAAAAGTACGAACAGTTACTCGCTTCCAAAGGCCTTTCTTTTTATGAAAGTAGATCAATTAAAATTGTTGAATTTTTGCAAGTATATAATAAGAAATAGTACCTTCAGAGGAACAATTTGTGAATAGTTCCTAAAAGGAAGACAATACGATATACGATTTTTATGATGAATTATTGCTGACAGAAAGCTTTATAATATACACTGGGTGTCTAAAAACTATACAACGAAAAGTTATTCTTAAAGAAACTTCCAATAATCTTCTAATACTTCAAGACACCCTATAGACACGTAAAAGAATTGTTACATCAAATAAAGTTCCAATTGTTACAAATATGTTGTTAAATAATTTTCTTCTCATTTCTTTATCCTAACTTCTTGTTCCTTACTTACTTTTATTCTTTTTCGCTATTTGCCACTTAGAAATTTTAATAAACGCAACCTGTTTCGTTCTTGATTTCTCCTCCAAGTTTTGCTTTCAGATATACGATCGTGAAAGAGGACTCTGGAGCAAATGACGATCTCGTTGGAAACACAATTGCATCGTAAACTGACACAGAGTGGTCAGAGGCCGGATTAGATAAGAAGAAATGGGTAAAGAGTAGGGAGCACATAATACGT